CTGGCGCCATCAAGGAGTTTGGCGGCGGCGTGGTGATCATCTCGCACCACAACGAGTTCACCAGCGCTCTCTGCCCCGAGAAGTGGACCGTCGGCGGCGGCAAGGTGGAGGTGACGGGCGCGCCCCAGGTCAACACGCGCGAAAAGGTTGAGTTTGTGGTGCAGGAGGAGGTGCAGGACGCGTTTGGCAACACCATCAAGGTCAAGGGGCCCCAGAAGAAGCTCAGCCGCAAGGAGGCCAAGGCCGCCAAGAAGGCGCGCGACGCACGCCGCGCCCGCGGGGAGGACGTCACCGACTCTGAGCCTGAGGACGAGTGAGGCGCCGGCGCGGCCGCAGCACCGTGCACCCAAACGGGCGGGGCGCGTGTGCACACTGCGTGCACGCTGCGCAGGGGTGCCCTCCGTGCCGCCCGTTTCAAGACTGTGGCAGTTTGGCGTAAGCTGTCGCGGCTTTGCACTGAAATCTCAACCGTGCGTGCCGCGGGCGTCGCCGCGGGCAGCTCAGCAAGATGGGCACCTGTGCTCTCAGCGCGCGGCGCCACCACCCCAATCTGCGTGCGTGCTGAGCAAAGCAAAGCCGCACAGAAGCGGCTGACCTCGCCCAGCCCTACTCTTTTTGCCGCCTTATCATCACAGCGCCGCCTGTGGATTCTTTGGTTTGAACCTTCTTTTTCGGCACGGCCACCATAGGTTGCCGCTGGCGTGCAGCAACGCACGCCTCGCCTGCGAGCCCCGCCTATTTTGAGCCACCTCGGTCGTTGCCGGTCCCAGCCGCCGTCGGCCGAAAACCTGTTGCCCCGTTTGCACCTGGCGGCGGCGCTGTACGGCGTTACCCGTGCAGGGGCGCTTGCACTGTGAGAAACCCACCGTACCAGCGCGCAATGGCGCTTGCACGGAAGAGCTGGGCACAAGAGAGGCGTGCATGGGCAGGCTGCCGCATCCTTTCGACAGTCTTCCGCGCTCCTTCTGCCTGCTTCACTCTTATGCAAGGGGGCGGCACACGCCCTTGAAAAGCAGTTGGCAGGCATTATAAGAGCGCGCATCCCATCTGCGCAGCGCACACCCAAACCCACTCACGCATTGTGTGAGGTCCATGTCGGCATGCGAGGCTGCAGGGTCCTGCGCATTCAACGGGGCTCAGAATCAGCAGTGAAGGTTTGCCAAGACCGCATTCTCTCTTTGCATGATCCACATGGTGAATGTGTTGTGTAAAACACGGCGCACTTGATACCTCCGCACAGGGATTCAAAACACACAGGAGGGCTACATGTCACAGCACATGGGTCAACACCTGCAGTCAACTGTCTCACAGGCTGCAAGCGGCTGCAGCCTGTGAGACCCCAAACTAGTGACCCGTTTGCACATTCTCTCTGCCATTATGAGGTACCTATGGGCTGCAACGTTTGCACTTGGTGTGCAGCAGCACCGTCACTACCGGCACTCGCCCCAGCCCAACCTCGTTTTAGGCGGACATGAATGCTGACAAGTGACTTGGAGGCAATACCACTTGAAACTTACCACTGCCGGCTCCCATCACAACGCGCCAGATTCAAGCTTCCAAGCCTCCCGCGCAACAACGTTCATCGATCTAGAGGTAGACGATCGTAGTGTTTTAAATTCGCACGAATCTGCTCGAAGTACTCCGTTGCAACGCTGCCTCGCTACCGGTGGACACAGCCGTGATACAAGAAGGCGTCAAGAACACGCCGCGCATACAAAGCTGCAGCAGGCATGCAGGACGCATTGAAAGACAGATACTTCGATCCACAGGCATTGTTAGCTGAGGACACGGTGCGCGCAGTCCTGCACAGCGCGTGCAGCGCCGCCGATGCCGCACCGCTTCCCTCTGGGTTGTCGAGCCTGCCGTTCCAAGCGCATTCACCTTCCCGTTGCAGTTGATACCGACGACATTTCGATACGCGGTCAGATCGCTGGGAACGGCGCTTGACCCCACCTGCCCTTCTGCGGACGTGAGCCTCGAGCCAGCAAATGCCAATGCTGCGCCACCAGTGCTTGGGGCGTGCGCTTGGCGGCAACGGCCCGCCATGATTGAGGATGTGACAGGTAGCCCTGCCATTCATGAACTGTACACGCCCGCAGCAAGATTATGGGGCAGGTGTGCCTGACCGTCTGACAGCAAGCATGCATTTGCCACTTTCCTTCCTCAGCTGCCAGGGGACCACCAGATGGACCTGCCCCTGTGGCTGGTGCAGCCGCTGCAAGAGCGACATATCGTCAGCGCACAGCTGCCCACGGCGTACAGCGAACGGTGCGTGAGCGAGGGGCCGCACGTCAACGGCAGCGGCGCTAGCGCGGGTTTCGGTTTCAATGCCAGATGCACGTGCAGCGCCTGGTCCGCTGTTGCGCAGGGCAGTCGTGCGGGCAGGCCAAGCAACTGCACAACCCCAGAACCCCTACGCCCCTGCCACGACCGCAGGAATCGGCGGCGCGCAGATGCGGGTGCATCGTGTGTCAACCTCAAGGGCGTGCCCTACTTCTACCGGGTCGGGCTCCAGTGCAGCGGCATGTGAGCACCTGCAGCACACGGACCCACACAAGCACAAACTATTCGAACCAGGTGACCACCTGGCTGGAGGTCTGGCAATATCATGAAAACCTCTATCGCATCATCGCCGCAATGCAGGGCTGACGATCAGAGCGGCCAGGAGCTGGCGGCATTTCTGCGGGCAACGTTTGCGGAGCGGTACCAGGTGTGCTTTGGGAAAGGGAGTTGCGGGTGCAGTGCACTTTTCGCTGCACTGCGCGGCAGGATTCACCTTGGCTCTGATGTGCGATGCAGTCACCTGCATTGGCAACACCCCAATACGCACCTGGCCGCCATGCCGTTTGACCTCAGGGCATGCTGAGCCAAAGCCTGCGTGCACTGGACGGGGCGGCGCTGCAGCACACACTGGGCAAGCTGAATGAGGAGGAACGGACGCGTGAGCTGTCGGGTCGGGGGGTGGCTGTGTTGGTCGAGTATGTCAGCACGTCAGTGTTGCAGGGCCGTTTGTCAGAGGATGTAGGAGGCCCTGGGATGTTGCCAAGGCCTGCAGTGTGTGGTACCACAGACAGCGCACCTATGTGTGTGAGGTGCATGCTGGAGGTGCGACGTTTGAAGGCTACCATGGCGGCCTCGCACACCAGCTCCATCCTCCTATTCTGTGCATCTCACGCGCCCACAATGCTATCCCTGCGTCCCAGTCTACCAGGCGGGCCGTGTGGGCGCCAGCCGGCAGGAGCAGTGGTGGGCGGCGGGTGGCCGGGCAGCCATGTTGATGGCGCCGCTGCGGCAAGAGCGCGGCGGCGCAGCTGGGGGCTTGCCGGGGAAGCGGCAGCGCACCGAGGCAGCGGGGGATAAGGAGAATGCCAACGCGCGCTGATGGCCCCCAATTGTAACACCATCATAGCGGAGGTGCACTATGGCGCAAGGAGCAGGGAGCAGCAGGGCGTGCCTTTTAGCAACGGTCTGCTGAGCCGGGGCAAGACGACAGATGCGCCGTACGCACTGCTCCTGGCGTCGCGCGGTGAGGCCACATGGTGCTGCCGCAGACTTCAATGACAACCGGATGTGGGGTTGCCGCGCATGGCGCTATCGAGTGCTGCTGGTAGTGCTTTTGAGCGGCACAACCTCAACCTCCCCCATCATGCAGACCTGCTGCTCCCCGCAGTCTCAGCCAGGGCGGACTACGCCCACCATGCGCCCCACCCACAGCCGGCCACCCTCACAGCCTGGGCCCACACAAACATGTGCCTTCTGCTGTCCTATCAGCACACGGGACTCGCCCCCCTCTTGCGCCACATCCGGTCAGGCGCTGGCATGTGGAAATGGCAGCCAATGCAACCAGAGAGGACATGTGCGACGACTGGCACACTTGTGCTACACAGCCGAACGCGTGTGAAGAAGCTACCGTGCAGTCCTTTGCACGACCCACAGCAACCAACATCATGGCCAGGGTCTAGGAACCCCCAAACTCAATACCATCCTCACGTATCAGCAGCCGCCTCCCCCACAGCCTGGCCGCGCTGCCGTGGTTTGCGCTTGCACGTGCGCATGGCATGGGGCTGGGACCTCGAGATATCTGCACTGGAGTGCAGTAGTCAACACAGCGCATATTCAGTCGAGCGCCGCGAAGGCGATTGTCATGTTTGGGCTGGCGTTGTCTGAAACTGCAGGCCAGGGGATGCGACGACAAGCGTTCACGTCCAGGCCTGAAGCGTTGAGCAAAGCTGAACAGCTCAACATTGATCAGTGGGGCATCAGGCTCACTGGTGGACCGTCTGCTGACAGACAGGCAGTTATTGTTGTGGGTGATGGTCGCATCGAAATGCTGCGCGTTCTGCCGTATGCAACCTGTTTGCAAAAGTCTGCGCTGATCGAGGCACTTGCACGCGCCGCCGTGACGGAAATGTGGCCGGCAGGTGCAGCCCACCTCACGGATGTCGTGGAGGACATGAACCGGTCTCATTTCAATGTTCAAGATGAAACAAGCTATATACGAGTTCCGGGAGGCGTATACACCTGCTCAGGGGCGTTGGAGGGTTTCCGACTTTGGACGCTCCCCCTTCTTTCCGTAGCGGGTACGTATGGCTTGCGGTCGTGGCTTAATTGATATTGCATCCGAACCGTTCCTGCCCTCCTTGGCCCCGTGCGAGCAACGAGTTTTCCGCAATGCAGCTCCGCAGGTGCGAGGCGCATGTGCAGCGCCTGGTGGGCCTTGTGCAGTATCCCGCTGCCGGTTTCTGACTCCTGTGCCCCCTGACATCTTCATACCCGCAGCTTCACGCCCAACAGGGCCGCGGCCCCCGTGCAGAAGCAGGTTGGGACTGGTGACTCCGGTTGTGCGCGCAATGGGCGCTCGCGCTGCCCCATATGCAAAGCGTTTCAAAGCAATTATTTAACTGCGTCGCAATGCACGTGATTCTGCGTGCTGTTGTCACGCCTGCCAGTGCGCGTCTGAGCCCGCCGTTGCCAGCGATGCAACATGCACACGAGCTCGCCTGACGCCGCCGCACGCTTGTTGCGCCCAGCAGGCTCGCGCCGCGCACGTGTGCCATGCCAGCTCTGGCCAGAAGCCCACCAAGGGGCGCTGGAGGGCGATGGATGCTGACCAGGACCAGTCGGATGACCAGGTGAGGGCCTGGGCACGTTTCCGGAACGGCCCTCACGCCCTCGCACGGCCTTGCCGCGTCGCTGCTCAATGCACGCGACAGTGGTTCTGGACGCCAACGGGCTGAATGCGCATAGGTCGCGCCCGATCACCGCCCCAACCTCCTGGACTAACCACCCAACCACCCTCCCCCATCAACGCCCTACC